TTTTTTTTTTTTTTTTTTTTTTTTTTTTTTTTTTTTTTTTGAGTGCCATGGCTTTTTTGAGGAAGGAAGCAAAACTGCAGTTAATAGTTTTGGGCTTGAAAATTTTCCAGCCAGGATGTCTACTGAAGTGGAATCTTGAAGAAATCTTGGAGCAACATCAAAGAGAATGTTATAATGGCATTCCAGGACCTTTCTGATCTTTAGTAATGGAAAGTTGAGAGGTGTTAAATTAAAGTTTCAAGACATCTTAAGTAAGGTGACCCCTTTTCATTCCTCTTTGCCTAAGAGGTGGATACTTTAAATAGTTCACTTGACAAAGGCTCCCAAGATGATAGCCTCTAAAGATTTTTTGTTGGTAATGACATTGTTCACATCATTTATCTTTGACTTGTGAATGACATGCTCCGTTTTCAAGCAACAATGCTACCATGCTCGACAATCTCATTAAGTTTAACTTTCTGTTCGGCACTAAGGTTAACTTAGAAAAATTAATCATTATCCATCTTAAAATCAATAACAAACTCATGCAAAATCAACCCAAACATGGAGATGCAGCAACAAAAGATTGACCTGGAAATATCAACTTAGGAAACTAGTGAAAGAAAGTAGCTGCCATTCTAATTAAAGAAGCTTCTTACTGTATAATTGTGGTAGACTTGCCTTGCAAATGTTGTGTTGTCTGTTGTCTAATATACTACACTATCTAATTTTTTTAAATTGTTCCAAAGGTGACCAAAAGAAAGGAAATCTTGATTTGAAATTTCTGATGAAAAGGAACTCAACATGATGGTGGCTGCAACCTTTTAAATTGGGATTATCTCTTCGCCTTAAATGCAAATTGGGTGAAAAGAGTAACAAGAAAAAGGTGAGGATTCAGTGAATAGTATTTGAAGTAATACAACGAAGAATTTTCCCTAGTTGATATGTACCATGGAGGAAAATCATAATTAGGAAATGCACCAAGTACCCCAGTCGTTGGATGGTGCGACCTGTAAGTATTTCAAGCTCTAGAAGCCCTTGGCCCGCAATTTCTAAACGTTCATTATAGGTGCAGAAAATGGATAAATTTTTTGATGATAAAGACAATATAATCATTTTAAGAGAGGTTAAGTTGGAGTGAAGTTGCTGATTGTAATGGCTTCTTTATTAATCTATGTTGATCTGAGGAATGCTGACCTTAGAATCCTAGGTTTAGAAGAAAACCAAATAACTTGATTATATTCTAAACCAATGACTTTGAGACTATTGAGTGGGTATCACTGTCGATTTATCTCCAAGAGGTTGCCTCAACAAACCATCTTGTAAGTGCTTCAAGCTCTAGAAGATCTTGGCCCTCAATAGATAAATGTTCTTTACAGGTTAAAAAATGGATAAATGTATTGATGGTAAAGACGATAGAATCTTTTTTTGGGAGGATACTTAGCTCCTATTTCCCCAAGAGTTGGAGTGAAGTTGTTGATTGCAATGGGTTCTTTAGTAATCTACGTTGATCAGAGGAATGCTGACCTTAGAATCCTAGGTTCAGAAGAAAACCAAACGACCATGAGACTATTCTAAACCACAATGACAATAAGACTATTCTAAACCCAATGACTATGAGACTATTCTAAACCCCAATGACTTTGAGACTATTAAATGGTAACATTCTGTCTCCAAGAGGTTGCCGTCAACCAACATTCAGTCTCTAAAATGTCAGCTTCAGATAGCACTGGGCAGGCTATAGAGGTGGATTTCCCCCCTTGATGATAAAGTAGTCAAAGCTATCTGGAAAGCAAAAGGTCCTAAAAGGGTAAGGTTTTCACTTCGGATGCTTGCACAGAACCAGTAAGTACCTACACTACAACAACTTTGAAAAAGAATAAAAAAATGAAAAATAAAAGCAGAAGAAGAAGAAGAAGAAGGTTGCCAAACTACTTTTTACCCCCTGGCTTAGTTAATGCTCTCTTTGTCAAAACTCTTCACTTTACTTATTCACAGCTCCTTCGCAGACAAGTGTTGAGAATACTTCTTAATCAATTCAACATTCCAAAAGAATAATAGTGACAGAGATCTTACTCATCTTCTTTGGGGTCATCACCATTCAAATGGCAAGCCAGAGTTATTTGGTCAAGTACTAATAAGACTATACTTCATGCAAGTCTTGTTTTCAATTAAAAATTATAGTAATAGCCTCGAAGAGCAATTACAAGATATAAACATAGAATAGAACAGGTAAATTCCACCATCACGCGTGAATCTGTTCCTGTTCAGATACGGACTTCCTGCTTGAAAACTACCATTGAAGCCACTCCTAATGAACATCTAAAATATGTATTTTTAGCAGAATATCATTCCAAACATGTTATGATCCAAGGCATGAAGGTGCCATATTTTAGAACAAATCAGGACTTCCTAAATAAGACATACAACACGAATTTGATTTTCCATCATTCCGAATCAGATCAATTAAGTGGTACATTAAAGAACAAAACCCCTACTCATCCACATTATATAAGAAAAATACAGATGCAGCTATCCAGGTTGAATACTTTCAAAACTCCAGCAAACCATTTAAACTTTTTCTTGAAGGGATGATTTTTTTTATAGATATAATAAAAATCCCAGGGATAAGGAAATGTATTTTGAAGGTAAACGAGAAAACAGTAACAAAACCCAATTGAAGAATCGAAAAAATAAATAAATAAAAAGAAAAATAAAAAAAGACAAAACGGCGATGCAAGAGGAAACCCTAGAGAGATAGAAGGAAGGAACATCGACAGTAAGATCCTGACCTCGCTGTCGGAGATGATTCGACGGCACTCCCGGAGGACAGCAGGGGTGAGGTAGACTTCCTTGCGAATCATGGTGTCGTTCTTGTAGTTGGAATTGTTAGCGTAGCGAAGCTTGCCATCGGGTCGGAATTCGAACTCCAAGAATTCGTGTCCAAATTTGCCTTTGTGCCCCACATAATATCTCAAGTAAAACTCTCCATTCTCCAAATCCTCGCCCGACATTGCACTCGCCTTGCACCGCTCTTCCTTCCTCTCCCGCCGGCTCTGCGACTAAAAATTCTGGAGACGTGAAGAGCTCAACCTCACGATTTGAAGAAGTCGATCGGGATGAGCCCCTAAGTTGTCTTTGACTTCGGTCGGCCCATCAACCCAGCTACGCATTACTGGGCTTCTTTCTTGCAAGAGTTTATATTTAGGAACTGGACCGCATGCCGAAAATAAAAACTAGAGTTTTTGTTTATTTATTTATTTTTAATTTGAATTAGATTAAATTGCTCCCAAACTAAAAAAAAAAATTACATTCGATTGACATTTTTTTATCGGGTCAACCTAACCAATCCAATTAACTTAAAATAGGATTAGTAATGTTACTGGTGGGTTCTAGTAGAAATTTTTTAATATAATTTTTAAAAAAACAATCTGACAACTTAACCCAACCCAAACCGTGTGGTTTAGAATTTGTGGGTTGGATTGGGTTATGAAAACTCTTCCGCTTTTTTCAGGTCATCAATCTAACCAACAACAAACGTTGGTATAAGATATGGGTAAGTTTGAGTGAGATTTTAGCTAGTCTTAGTAGAAAGAATGAAATATAATATAAAAATTTAATTTATATGAGAATATGAAACACGGGAAGAAAAGAGATCATAACAGGAACACCTCTTTTACACCTTAAGTGGGGTGAGTTGGTGTGTTCTTATGGAACTCTTGGGTGAATATAAGCAACATGAATCCAACCAAATAGATAACAAAAACTAACAGGGATCACAAATTATTGAATCAAATATAGAAAGAAAGCCAAGCACTGCATCTTCCCAAGCCGCTCACGCTCATAGAACAAACAGGGCGGCGAAGCAGGCAATGGAAGCCCCAGAGATCAACTGCTTGAGACTGATAAAAGCAGAGGAGCCTGCGCTTGGAGATGGAGGCGACGGGGGGGTGTCAGCCGGTGGGGTGTTAGCCGGTGGGGTGTTGCCCGGTGGGGTGGTGCCGGGTGGGGTTGGGGTGGCGTTGGCAGCCACAACATTGATCTGAAGCTTCATGCCGCTGGAACAGTGACCCAGTGTCGGACAGAGGAAGTACCTTGGCCCTGTCGCAGACAGAGGAATCGACGTGCTTCCGCCAGTGTGAGATCTAATCACCGAGGTTGACGAACACGCCTTGTAGCTTGCCTCATTCACCTCCGCCACTGAGTGACTCCCACCATAATTGAACACTGCAATTTTTACACAAATTAAACAAAACCCAAATCGAATCATCCTACAAATTCCATTCTATTCATAATTCAAACAATTACCCAACGAGTCTCCAACTTTAAAAGCTTGCCCTGCAGCCCAGGTATCATAATCAAACCCCTGACTCCACCCAGAATCGCCGCCAACAACGATATCAGCACCATTAACCGCACGCACAGCGACAAGAAAAACAAAAACAACCGCCACTTTCATCACCATTTTCACAGCCTACTTTGACGTTACAGAAACAGAGACAATCAGAGCTTTGAAACAGCAACGACGCTGATATCGAGTGTTTATATAGAACGAAGCTTAAAATTTTTCAAAATTCTTTTTCCTCTGCTTCTGGGTAAAGTCAATAAAGTCTGTAATTAAAAAAAGAGAGAATAACAGAAAGTGTCATGATTTGACATGGACTGTTCTTGGTTGTATTTTCCTTACTATTCCACCTAATGCATTTGCCATTTGAGCAGGACATAATGTCCTGGCGGCGACCATATGGATATTATATCCAATAATAACTCAGTGGCTGCTAACTTTTGTTAAATAAAGAGCACCAATATTGATTTATTTAGGAGATAAGAATAAGTAGACGACTAGAATGATCTAAGATGCTTCATATTCTAATGCCTCCCACCTAACACATGATAATGGAAGGGTTAGTTAGCTTAGGGAATGCTATTATTGACCCATGTGGGATTGGTTTGGTTTGGTTTATGCTTTGGGTCAATAAATTGTATTATATGTATGGGGGATTAGGTAGAGATAGAGAAGTTCAATTTGAAGTGTAGGAATGGATGGATGTAGTTGGTGTACAACTTATTGATTATATTTAAACTCATACATGATATTTATATGTTTTATGAATGAATATTTATTGGAAATGTTATGAGATCGTTAATATTAATGTTACATATTTTAGTTTATGGATATAGCAACACGTGTTGTTCAATAATTTAATATGATATAGACTGTTCTTTAATGTTTTGGTAACTGAATTGAACGTGTAAAATGATGAAAATTTATGTGAAATATAGTGAAAGTAATGTAAATGCGATGAAACATAGATGGAATTAATGTGTTGAAACGAGTGCGCACATATAAACTTTTTGTCATATGACATGCTAGCTCAAGTATAAATGTAACCGTTCAAATCCAGTGTTGATAGATATTGTCCACTTTGGTTCATTATGTATCATTGTCAGCCTCATGATTTTAAAACACTGGGGAGAGGTTTCCATACTCTTATAAGGAATGTTTTGTTCCCCTCTCCAACTGACATGTGATCTCACAATCTACCCACGTTGGAGATTCAGTGTCCTCCCTAACACACCACCTGGAGTTTGGCTTTGATGCCATTTGTAACAGCTCAAGTCCACTGCTAGCAGATATTGTCCGCTATTGTCTCAACTACGACTTGTTCAATGCGCTCCTACTGACATGTATACAAAATATATAATGCAATTCTCACGTACAAAAAAATGTGAACTTTTCAAAATTGTTTCATCCATCCTAAAAATACCAACAGCTTTCACACATGCTATAAGCAAAATATCCCAGCATAGTCAAGTATTCGTTCAACGTGCTTATAGCAACCAAGATCTTCTAAATTATGACAAAAAAAAAAACTATATGATGTCTACAAGAATAAGTCATTTTCAAACAAGATCACATGCTATAAGCAAAAAGATCCGAGCATAAGTCTTTTCGTCTTAAGTTTCTTAGCCCTCTTCCCTCTCAGTATGGTGTATTCTCTAGTTAAGTCGTTTTCAAACGACTTTAACATATGCTATAAAAAAAATATCTCAACAATTATCTATGTGTTCAATGTGCCAATAGTAATAAAAAAAATCACTTAAAGGGTCTATTTTACATACTTTCTAAACAAAATAACGGATCTATTACAAAATAAATTTTCAAAAAAATGTTCGTCTCAACAAAAACGACATTTTTAAACACCTTCCACGTGTGTTCTTATATTTGTTCAATATGCTTACCCAACCAAGAAATTACTTAATATATTCCAAAAAAAAAAAAAATCCCAACCCCAATTTAGCACTCTCTTGAGTGAAATCCTTTTCAAACAACTTTCACATGTGTTATACATAAAATATTGCAACACAGTCATTTAACGTGCTCATAGCAACTAGAAATCACTTAAATTGTCCATTTCACGTTCTTTATAGACAGAAAATGTAACGACCTTAAATTTCCACATACTCGGGGTCGTTACTAATGTCTCATGCTCATCTATAATGCGAAAATATAACTCTTACATGAATATCATTTATGACGTAAACTTCGAAAAACGTTTAAAACAACTCCTTTGAAAAGTACAGTCATGATCTTACGTGTTTAAATACGAAATACTATAACTTAGAGAAAATAAAAAAAAAAATACAAAATAATTTAAAACAATAGAGTGCAAAACAACCTATTCTAACTTAAGACTAGGAATTTAAATATGAGTTTACCCTAAGCATGTGTCACAGTCTTTGCTCGCGATGCCGCTGTCCTCCATACAAGTGTGTCTTGCCTTTACCTGAAACATGATGTGGCACACGGCTGAGTATTTCAAAGAATACTCAATAAGTGGCTCCACTATAGGGGGCCATGCAAATGCAAACACATGCAATCATGATTTAGGGACCTATCTCTAATCATCTTAGGGGTGGCCTTCAGTCTTGGATAAATTGGATGTATAGTACTTCCCTACACACGATTCACATGTGCGAGTGTGAATCCCCAGGGCGCTCGCACACCCCCTGGACCCTCTGGTCAAGCTAATCTATAGCGACGTTTGGAGGTCAGTGGAACCCCATAGTGTCATGCGCCTCATGAATACCCTCATCTGTGCGCATTCGCGCTCGTGCACATTCGCACTCATCATCATACTGTGCGCGTCCGTACTCATTATCTCTAGGGGAAGTAGCCCTATGCTTATGAACATACAATATGCATGAGGTCCCTCCAAATCCATCGTAATGTCTCTTCTGACACAACCCTCTAGTCTCATCTCTTTATTACTCTAGGTAACACATACTTGTGGATATTTATATTAATATCATTTTCATGCTCTTGGGGTTGTGTCCTATGTCGATCTAACAACATGATGCAATATGACACTCATTATCATATAGCATACTCAAGATGGAAAACATCATCATATTAAAGTAAACATCACGCAATCATCATACTCATCATTGCCATAAAGTGCATCAAGCATATCAAATATGTCATTCATCGAAATATATATATACTACGCACATCATCAAGCATCATAACTCATACATCATCGATTACGATGAAAGCCTAGATTCGAGATAGCTTGATGGGCACTATTGCCTAGATAGAGGAGCATGTCGATAGCCTAGATAGCTCCCAAAAGACAATAGTTCAAATGATCACCGAAAATTTTTATGACGTCAAAACAGCCCACGACATAGTCAGGCCTGAAATGGCAAACAAATACAGAGAAATATTGAAGTTATAACGACATTACGACTACGACGAAAAGTTGGCTAAGGTTTGAATCCTAAATAAGAACAAACTCTAGCTTCCTTATAAATCCTGCCAGCCCTACAAAAGTAGCCCTTACTTGGGGCACAATGACTATCTTTAGAGCATAAACACAATCCTTCCAAAGCACACCCATCTTTATCTATACTCACAGTTCCTTCCACTCCAAGAATTTGATTGGTCCATTCATTTGAGAACAGCCCGTACGGATCATATTCATTCTTAATCTTCAAAAACCTTTCTCTATTTTTGTACTTCCCAATCGCTTCAAGAAATGCAATGTTCCTGTTCTTCCCCCAATGCGGACTACCTCCATATTTGAACAACGCCATTTGCTCCACCTCTTCAAGCACGTCTTCAAAAAGCCTTGGACTCATCGGGTCTTTGCTCCTATAATATGTGAAGTCAAAGTTGATGCCATCTTCTTCCTTCCCCAAGTAGGCCGTGGAGGCTTTGACATAGCGCATCAATATGCCATTGTAGAGCTCAAGGCCACAAAACGCCATGGGCTCTAACTCACCAAGCTTTCTCACGTCTTCTATGAAACCTTTCACCACTTTTAAGTCAATGCTGATGCCTATTTCGTGGAAAAACTCCCCTTTTATCGATGGCTCCCAAGGACATGCTGTGATTCTAAGATCATTGACACTGTCTAGGCAAGATCCAGAGGATTGAAGGCGATTGTTATACCCGATGACTGGATATTTGAGAAATGTGATACCTATTCAAATAATTGCATGCGGTTAATTAAGTGAATTTTGAATTTTGTAATGGTCTTTAGTATGTGTTCTTACCATTGTTGGTTAATCCGTAAGCTGATAGTGAGAGAAGTGACGTGATAATCTTTGCACTACGACACTTCCCAGCTGCATCACGTCTTGCTTCTTGGTACTCCTCTATGTAGAACAAGATATCAAAATTTGAAGTGGGTAATTAAGCTACAAGGGTTCGGGGCTCGTAGTGTTGCAAGATCAATCGCATTCACCCATCCACAAACAGAAAATTAACAAAGAGACACAAAGATTTACGTGTAGTAACCAAAGTGTATCTCTCACACTACAATGTGTTACGAATAACGACTCTCCACAATAGTATGATATTGTCTACTTTGAGCATAAGCTCTTATGGTTTTGTTTTGGGTTTCCCCAACAGGCTCATACCAATGGAGATAGTGTATTCTTACTTATAAACACGTGATCATTCCCTGAATTAATCAATGTGGGACTCGCTCCTAACAATCCTCACACAAAGTCTCTCAACAAAGTTTCTCGTAATTGTCTTAGTTAAATACAAAATGACAGTGACTCCATTGTCTTAGTTAAATACAAAATGACAGTGACTCCAAACCTCAAAACAATGATAGACAAACATTTATATAAACCCTACACAAAGAAACATTAATGCTCATATATGAATTAAGATGATTCATGTATTAAATAAATAGGGTTATGAACCAAATAAATGAGAATTATGAACCAAATAAATGATAGATGAATCAAATAAATAAATGAGAGTTTTGAACCAAAATAAATGACCATACATGCATAAACCTATCTTTTATGACAACTTATAACATGGAGATCCATACTCCATGAATTAAAGATGATTCATGTATGAAAATGGAAGATGAACCAAAATAAATAGTAAACATACGTATGAAATGCATGAACCTATTTTTCATGACAACTCATGACACGTAGATCAACACTAACCTGAGGCTCGAACAATGGCCAAGGCAGCAGAAGGTGTAGGACGAAATGGAATAAA